AAGTAAATAATTGTTAATAACCAAATGTTAATACATTTAATAATCAGTCTCTTTTGATTTCAATTTAATAAAAAGTAATAGTAAATATTAGAAACATAACAAAATTAAAATTAAAATAACTGTAAATAATAACAAAAAAAACAGACTAACCAAAAGTCATTTCATCATCTGATTCATACACAGGTTGTTTTTTTTCGGGTCCATAAATATTAGCTGCAGTCATACAGTTCCGCATTTTTACATTAGGAGCAAACTTTAAACAACACCCTGATCGCCTTACTGTTTGATCAGCTAATAAGATGCCATTTAAAGTGTCAGTAATTAGCCGATTCCTGGTTTTTGTTTTAATTGAATTTACTTTGCTAAATTTCCTTTCACAGTCTGCATTAGCATGTGGAATGGACATAGCTGATAATGCAAATTTAGGAAGAACTGAAAACATCTTTTCATCACTTTCATCTTTATAATGATATAGCTAAAATGAATAAACAAATATGCTTAAATAAATAACTGTATAATTACATAATTAACAATTTTTATATTACTTGATGCCAAAATGTATCTGGTTCAGATGTTTTAGTTATTTCAGCTGGAATATAATCAATGAAGTTAGGCAGACGTCTCCATTCATCATCTAGTTTTTGAAGATTTGAATCGCTGAAATCTGCGCATCTAGGCAGTAATGTAACTAGTGGCATAAGTGAAGTTGTAGTATCTCTTTCATTTTGTGAGAGCGCTCTTATTGGGTCAAGTACAGGGAGACTAGATAAAATCGGATTTTTGAAGTCGTATCTATCTTTTATTTCTTTACATGCTATCATTAGGAAATTTTGACATCTTTGTTGAAAATCATTTAGATTAGGGTCTACTCCTACAGATAATCTAGGTTTATCTAATTGTTTCATAACTCTGATACCTAAATACATCTATAAAACAATAACAAAATTAAAACTTTATGTTATAAAAATAAAATTTAATAAATACATTTCATTTACAAACCTGTTTTAATGGAAGAAAATATTTTTTTTCTAATGGATTTATATCTCCTAATTCAGTTTTACATACATAATCTCTAGTCATGTAGATTAATAACAAATCTTTGAAGGCCGTTGACATTTTTTTATGTAAATAAATAACCACAACTTTAGATGATTGGAAATATTCATTCATTTCAGTAAATTTTGGTAGAATCCATAGGAGAAACAAGAAGTATGCTTTAATGTAACAATCATTTAATCCTAGATGTATATGCTCAGCTGCTCTCAAATGTTCACTAAGCCATTTATCATCAAAGAAAAGTCTTAACGCATCCCACTGCTCCACAATACGTTCAACAACAGCGATAAGAGATAGCCAACGAGTTTGACTAGGATGCAATATTTTGTGGACATCAAGATCAAGAAATTTTTGAAATTGGGCTAGTTGTGCTTGTCTTTTTGAACTACTTTTCATAAAGTTATGAATGTCACGAGCAAGGTCTTCAGTCTTTCGTGGTAACTGCTTACAAGCTTCACTTGCACATAAGTGCAAGGAGTGGCAAATACATTTCATTATGAAAATATTTGGACATAAAACTAAAAACCGCGAGGCTACAGAGTTATGTTTACCCATCATGGTACTGCAACCATCAGATCCAAAACCAACAATATTTTCTATATTTATATTTCTTTTCTGGAATGTTTTAATTACCACATTAAATAATCGTTCAGCAGTAGCTCCTTCTTCGGCTCCTTGAACATCATGTTGACTAAAAATTTGGCAAAGTTCCCAGAAATTACTAACAATGCCAGAGCTTTCTTCGTCATAAAACCGAACCATTATACAAGCGGTTTTTACACTAGAAATGTCTGTAGATTCATCCATTAGAATAGAAAATTTAGTACATTGAAGTTTTTTAGTAAGATTTTCTTTTTCGTGGACACCAATAACATTCTTGACGATACACTTTGTTTTAGTACGCTTTAACGAAAGTGTTTGCGCTATTTTAGAATCCGGGAAGCAACGGGCCAAAACTGGAGTTAGGTGATCCATACTGGCAAAAGGCATATCGTGAGCTGCTACATAACTGGACAATAGTAATTCTGCATCTTTTACTTTGTCACCCAACGGATCCACTCGAGATTTATCAATAAACGTTTGTAAAGAGTTTTGAGTTTTAGGTTTCGCATTACTAATCATAAGTTTATGCTTAGATCCATTTGCATGGTTTTTTATAACAGATATATCAGCTCTAAAATCTTTATTACATATTGAACATTTAGCTCGAAAAACATCGTCAATAACTGGTTTTAGCCAATATTTAAACTTAGAGTTTAAGCACCATTCGGATCTAAATTTTTGATCACGATGACCCTGCTTCTCCGATTTCAGTGCATCACCACCTCGTTGCAATCTTTTCTTCTTCGGAGTCAAATTTGAAGATCCTGCATTCATAGGACTGTCGTTGTCTTCGTCGCTGGTTAATGTTAATCCCATAGTAGGTGTTGATAAAACCTTGTGACAGTTTAACACTCAGCAATCAGCACGTCAAATAACCAATTACAGTAGACAGTAAGTAAAATTAAAAAAATAACAATAAACTTAAACAAATTTAAATTTAACTTTTTACTTATAACAAAACAAGGTTAGGTACTTTGTGCCTTGCGGTAGCGGGTAGACCATCATACGACGACGCTCCTCAAACTTAAATTTTTGATAGTGTGTTCTCTACTTCTATGCTGAATTAATCATAGACCTATTAACTTAATAGGTCTATGGAAATGGAATTAATAGTTGAATGTATTTAATATTAATAGTATCAAGAAAACCTTATGTATGATAGAACGATCTAACAATGATAAGTGATAGTGATAACGTCAATTTCGCAAATAAGAAATGTACCATGGTTACATATAAGGTTATTATGTCCCAAGGTTTATAGATTATATAATCTATAAACCTTGATTATGTCCTACTGTTGGAATTGTTGGATAGAAATAAATAACATATTTTGGTTCTCTGTGGGATAAAAAAAAATACAATTTTTCCAATTTGAATGTAATTATGGTATTTTTTGCGTACCATAAAATTTATTATGGTATATGGTACATCGTGTAAAAAAATGGTATGAATACCATAATTATGGTACATCTGGCAAGGCTG